GCAAAATGTTTAATTTTCTGAATTTATTAAAAATTATCATGAATTTTAAACTCATTAATAAAAAATATTACAAAATCTTGTGTCACGTGTTATGTCTGATGGGATGTGTGTATCAAACGTATAAAATAAGTGAACTATACTTCGGATACCAAACCACTACTAATGTTAAGTACGAGCTGGAGAACAGCCTAACCCTACCGGCGATTACAATATGTTTTAAAAAGGAATCCGTATTAAAACCTGAGTTTACGCATAACTACACCACGTATTCAACACTTAAGAAATACCCTGATATCACAGCGTATTTAAATACACTGTCAATCAGATATCAAATGGCAGCCATGAGAGCACCGGACGATATATTCACCTGCTTTGCGCAAAACAATGATTTGAATACTCAGGATAATCACATTGATATGAAATATCTAATTCAATATCTCTATAAATCGTGCGCCAATATTAGCGCATACAGAGTGTCGATTAGTGGTTGCAATTATTGTGTGACCCTATTTTCGGACCGACGTGCTCGTTACGAGGTTGGCAAACTTATATCACCATACAATTTAATGTTTGCGGTCAATGAAAAATCGATGATCATTAAGCAAGGATTCGAGGTATATGTGCACGAGCATGATACAATCGTATTAAATGAACACCGGCGCGGTCTGGAATGGTATATTATTATAAATATGACCACCACAACCTTGACCACTATAATTCTAATTTATAGTAAATAATAGAATCACTATTAGTTAAAGCTATAAACTAAGTTCCAGAATACTTTACGCAACATTAATTATAATTATTAATTTGTCATGATCATTAGCTAAGCAATATGAAGACTACAACATTGACGATTTTGAGCCAAGTTTTATTGAACCAGATCTTACAAATGCACCTGAGCAAGCTCAATTAATATGCGGTGAATCCGTGGAATGCCTATATGATTACATGACAACCGGTAGCGTTAGCGTTGCCAACCATACAAAATCAATCAGAAATGAATTTGACCAAATCGTTCGGATTTACGAATCAAAAGTCATAACATGCCCAGCATTACGATATCCCACAAATGGTTATTATAATGCTGATAATTTTTTGCCCGGTACTTTCGTTAACTTTGAGTGTTTTGAAAATTATACGCTGAATGGAGCTATGATATTATATTGCCAAAATAATGCCACGTGGAACGACACTGCTCCAATTTGTACTCAAAATAATGACGACAAATATAATGATGGGGATGATAATGATAATTATATATTTTGGTACATAGATTGTGGAATATTAATAATTAATTTTCTAAAACAACTTAAATATATATGGTCAATGTGTTTATGGATATTTATGTGTGTAAAAATACAAATATTATTAGTACTAATTATACCTGGCACTAATGGCAAGGATTTGATCATTTGATTCATTGACTCCAAACCATGGCTTTTGGTTTACAACAAAATTGTTGATACGTTTAAAGCAATTAAATATTGTGTATTACATATAGTAATAAGTTTTATTGAATATTTGTTTGACCCATTTCGATTTAATAAATATTTACATATTTAATAATTATCATAATTTTGTCAAACCTAGTTTATAGTATTTTAAAAATTATTTTAAAAATTTTAATTGTAATGCTAAAGGTTGATTTGCTCTAGGTAGACAGGGGAGAGATATGAACTAGTAAGGTTGGGAAAGGGTTGCACTGCTAAGGCTACCCAGGGTCTACCATGTTAACAGTGTTAACATAAAATCGTACTGAAGGGTACTATTAATAATCTACGATGCACATTCATATTAATCCGAGCCACACTAACAGTTACAATTAAGTTAAAATATTGTACATATTACTAAATTTGTTACAACGCTAGTTTTTACTTCATCATTATAAACTTTATAGTCACTTTAACAAGGTATTAATGTATTAAAGTGTAAATTAATGCTTAATTAATAATTATTAATCATATGTGTTGGCACAAAGATCTA